TTTTGTGGGAACTGTGATATACCATTCAAAAGATTTCTGTCAAATAAATGCTGTTCTTTTGAACTTTCTATTCCAAGAATCCACAATTTATGGTTTCCACAAAAATAGTAAGCAGTAAAACACTGATAATAATAAATATTATTAATAATCAAGCACCAATAATAATTTACAATAATTGAGCCCCAAATCAGCATATAAAAAATGATTTCTAAAGGATCATGTGATAGAGAATACTGAAGTAATGGCTGATGAAAATTCAGCTTTGCCATCACAAGAATAAATTACATTTTAAATATATTCAAATAGAAAACAGTTTTTTAACGGTTTAATCTTATTTCACAATATTACTGTTTTTAATGGTTTTCAAATTAAAAAAAATGCAGCCTTGGTGAACACAAGAGACTTCTTTCAAAAACATAAAAAAATGTGAATTACTCCAAACTTTTGACCACTAGTGTACATTTCTAACACTATACACTTTTATTACCTTAGTATGAAAATACAGAGAACTATTTAATGCTGCTGCATGAGAGTTTCTAATACAATGGCTGAGGCAATGATGGCAAATTTGACATATTTCTCTCTTCTGACCAATATAATCAATCTCTCAGTATTTTTTCCTCGTCTGTAAAATCATAGAAGCACTAGATTGTTTGTCTTTCTTCACCACCATACAAGCCTTCCCAACTATGATAACTTTCTGAGAAACAGGCAAACACTACCTTCACAATCTCCTGCGCAATCTGCCGAGTCTTATTGATGTCCAGCGTGTTTTTCGTGTCCCTCACGACAGAATACAACGTCCGGCCTTTGCAGAAGCTGTGGGGAAATTAAGACGTGCTTGTCAATGGCCATTTCTCGATCACTTGACGGACTCGGATGTCTGAGACGCTACCTGGTAATGATGGCCAGATGAGGCGGAGCCATGCAAGCTCCCATGAAGAGGACGACATTCTCGTGGCGTGTCTGTCTGTAGTTCATCACCTCCTTCTTGAAGAGCTTCAGGTGGTCCTGGTTGTTCCCGTCGATCTCCAGGAGTCGGATGGCCACCTCTCCGTGCCAGCGGCCGCGATGGACCCGACCCCAGCGACCCTTCCCAATGAGCTCGCCGAGATCCAGCTGCTCGAAGGGAATGTCCCACTCCTGCAGGTAGACGCTGGTCTGGCTGGCCTTACGAGAGATGGGACCTTTCCAGTGGGTTCCTCCTCGCGTGCTGGGCAGGTCGTCCAGCTCGTCTCCTTCACACTCTCCTTCTGAGCTGTGGTTCAGCTCATCCATATCCTCCTCCTCTTCATCCTCCAGCTCTTCCTCTTCCTCCTCCTCCTCCACTGCTATATCCTCTTCCTCCTCTGCTTCTATTTCCTCTTCTTCTTCTTCCTCAAGTTCCTAGACGAGAGGAAGCAACCACAATGAGTTTTCTCAGCAGTGCTGGAAGTGCTACTTAAGGCTGGAATCAGTGTCTGTGTCATGCTCTTTCCGACTTTGTAAATGGTTACGGAGGAAAAACTGTGCCTATTATACACTACGTGATTTTATATTATATATCTGTATTCCGATTCAGTTCCGCAAGCGTCTCACCTCTCTGTCATCTTCCTCGTCTTGTTCTGCGTGCATCTCCTCCACTGATGGATCGATCTCGTTACTGTATATAAAACGAAACATTTAGCCGTCACTATGACTGAATGCAGAACAGGCAGCAGTATATTTACACTTCTGAGCAGTAATTTTACCGTTACTTACACTGTGTCTGGGAGTCCATCTGAATGAAGGATGCTGGAACTGCACACATCTGTGAAAGACATGATAATATTGACCAGCTTATTATGTTTGAAAGAATAAATTCACTGACTCTGTAAACATGTTATTTCTAGTTGTACCGATACAGAATTACTGATATTATTATTGCTCAATGTAACATGCAGCGCCACAAATCACCATCAGGGTGCAGCTCATCTCACAAGTATAAACTACTTCTGTGTGAACAGTACCAGCATGCAAAACATGCAAAACACATTACTTTAGGCATTGCTCAGATTTGTACATTTGTAAAAGTCGGTTCAGTTTACTGCAGACTGGGCAAAATGACGTGCTGGAGACTATGCTAGCCATTTCATGGCTGAAAATCTGCTGAATTTCATTGTTTTAGACAAGGAATCCATAAAATGATGGGGAAAAAAATAAGATCTTGCTAAAAAGTTTGAGGTACTTTATAGTTCTTACACCTGTAAATGGGGTGTTGATGGATCATCAAGTTATTTTCAAAATAACGTTAGCAGCATGTAGTGTGTTCAGTGTACTATTATAGTATTTATTAATATTTTAAATTAGCTTTCATTTTTATATTTTCAGTTATCATGTTTATGTTCGTTTTTTGTTTTATCAAACTGTGTTTTTATCAAACTTTTTATTAGCTTTTTAATATTTCTATTTAAGTATTTTTTATCTTAGTTGTCACTTTTCATATTCGTATTTAATTTTCATTTTGTATTTTTCGTGTTTGTATATAGTTTTTTTAAGCTTAACTTTTTAAAAAGATTTTATTTTAACCATTTTAATTAACAAAAACAGATTTTAATAGTTTGTTTTAGTTAAATATACTAGTGTGTCAAACAAATTGACCGGAAAATTGTAGCTAATTAATATTTTTCTTTTTGTATAATTGAATTTATCTAAAGTTATTCGAATATGCTTTTACTAACAGAAATTGTATTAAAATAAAAATTGGTCTTTGGGCTTTTCTGTTCACCACCATAGTGTGAGACTGAATATATGTCTGATTATGGCACTTTATATATTATATGAAATAACAATGCATTTATATATGATACATTTGTTTATTTGATCACTATTTAATGAATAACTGTGCTAAAATATTTCACTCAGATGGTGCAACAGTTTATTGCATTTGCCCACTGAATCCTGAAGAACATTACAGAGTTTGTGTTGGTTAACTCACCAGGGAAGATGAACTGCTGTCGGTGCTGAAAATAACATGCAGCTTTGCCACACAAGAGGAAGACAGGAAGAGAGGAAGACAGGCAGGAAGCAGACAGAGAGACAGTCTGGGGTTAGAGGCGAAGTCCCATTATGCCTTATGTTGAGTTACAGTGTTACATGCAGATAAAGAGTCCTGAATATCAGCATTTATTTTAATTTTTTTACCTGGGATTAATGCAGATGTGTGTGTTATGTATTAATCAGTGTAGTATTTGTTAATGTGTTCGTTTATTGCAGTGTCAGTGTTTACAGGTGCTTACCTGGAAAGTGGAAGCGGTTGTCACGGTGGCCCTTTGGGGAGGGGTTTGGGGGCGGGGTTACACTTGGAGGATTGCTCTGCTGGAAGGGGGCGGGAGATGAAGGCGTAGAGGAAGTGGTGGAGGATGGATTACTGCTAGAGTCCAGCTGATTCAGCGCCGGCGGTTGATCCTGCCAGAAATTAACCATATTGATGCCGCAGAATTTTTTTTAATTGCATGCTATTAAAAAATGACGTAATGTACATAATCTGGAAAATATATACTGCATACTACAAAAACAGGACAAGCTGTATACTAGTATATCATTCTGTCACACAGGAACCAGTACCTTCTTTGTTATTGCCTTCGGTAGCGTCCCGAACTGTGGCGCTTCGGGTGGACGGTCCACAGGGTTGTTAATGTCTGAGGGTACAGACTCAGTCCTACGAATCTTTGTGACTGAGAGACACACAATTATTAGAAAAACATGCCTGTCATGATTGATGTCATTATATCTGAGCAACAGATAAGAGAAACTTACTGGGCAGGAAAGAGATTCTGCAGGATGGAGCTTCTTTAGTGCATTTGTTGTGACACTTTAACCTATAAGAGGAAAAGATGAGACATGAGTGTGTGATATTCCCAGATTACTGTCAGGACACAAAGACGATAGCAGTTCATGAGTGTGGTTTTCTTGGGTGAATTACTCAAAACCCACAAATCAGTTAAGAACATTTCCAGGTTATTATATATATATATATATATATACAGTGGGTACGGAAAGTATTCATTGTAAATGTATGTAATATTTTCAGCAATGTTAGTTTGTACTATATTGAATTTAATTTATACTGATTTTAATTAAAAAAATGTATTCATTGCATGGATGGCAGGATGACTTTCAGTACTGTATTACAATAAAGACGATTATATGTTTTGCACTACTGCAACGGAAATTCAGTAATTCAAATTTTTTTTTAATTGTCATTAAAAAAAATTCACAATGCAAAAAGAAAATCTATAGTTATGTTCTAATAACTAAATATCTTTAGGTATGTTCAACAGAAGAAAGTAAGTCACATGGGTTTGGAACAACATGAGGGTGACAAAAGTATTTTTTTTACTCACCTGCAGTGTTTGCATTTTACCCCAAATATCATGTTTTTCTGGCACACTTGACATGTCTGAGAGAGCCAAGACTTTGTAGAAAACCTATAAAAACACACAAAATATCCTTATGTTTCTGGGACAAAATTCAACAATCATTTCCACCTATTTTGTTCAACAAAGGAAACCCTAAGAGGCGGCGTTACCTGTGAGTGACAGCCAGCCCGATGTCTCTCCGCAGAGCTTGAGGTGAGCTGCGGTGGACGGTAACATTATCTAGAGAGCGACAGAACAGACAGAGACAGTTTAAATGAGAGACTTCATTTGAATAAGTATCTCTAAACAGCACGCTTTTAGACATAACAAAACACTTGTCTAGACTCAGTAGCAAACTCTCAGTTAACAGCTGTGCTTTTACAAAGTGCTGCTGGTGAATCATTTCCTCTGCTCCCTGAAAGCCGTTGGTGACAGCAGGAGTATTTGAGTGTGTAGAGCGCAGGTGAGAGCTTCCTCTTCACTCTGAGAGGTTGAACTGTGACCTCAGTCTGATCAGCATTCAGCAGGCACTTCACTGCAGTCTGGTCTATTTGAACTACAGATCTGCTCAGTCAAGAACTGTGCATGTCTTTGAAATGCTGTAATTGTGCTGTTGAACTCACTCCGCAGGCCGATGTGCTCTTCCTGTAGTGTGGGAGTGCCTGGCAAAGTGTACGGGGCCGTGGCGGGTGCTGCCCCAGGGGTCCGTGTGGAGAGAGTGGGCGAGCGAGATGGAGAGTCCTCACAACCGTTTCCATTAATCTGGACGTTCAGAAACAGCTTGTTTTTTTTCACACACCTAAGAATAATGAAAGACGGTCAATGTCAGGCCAATTATTCGGCTGATATCTGGCTAATTTGGAATTAATTGCACAAGTTTAGCCTGCTGGGTCAATTCTTCATGAAACATGAACATGCACATTTCCTGTTTTATAAAATATTTCTGTTCATTTGGAGGAAATATTGTGTAAAATAAACATTTATTCAATGCCAAATGCATTTACGCCTCAAAAAATCAATTTATAATAATGATGATAATAATAATGTAAAATAATGTATTCTCTCTCTCTGTATTCTTCTTCTCTCTCTTTACAAATATAATATAATATAATATAATATAATAACATATACTTTGGAAATTGATGTTTCCATGTATGCTGGACACTTGTTAGCTGATTTCCATCACTATGTAGTCCAACTGCATCATTTAGTACAATTCATATAATTAATTATATTAAAATTAGTTTATAAAGGAATTCACATGTATGCATAATTTATTACTTTTATTTATTTATTTTTATTAAGCCTAAGTGTTCAGATCAAAATGTTTTTAAATCATTAGGCACACTTTTGACTAATATATTGGACTCTAAATATCTGAATCAGCCCATATCGAGCAAACACCAACAAAAATGTCATGAAACAGCCGGCAAGTAGAGTGTCGTTATTCTGTGGTCACATTGTTGGCGTTATTGGTTTTTACATCATCACAGATTGCTATTAGTCACTGCAAAGAAACAAGCATGACTTATGAAAACACAGTCGATGACTCTGTTGATAATTCCAGTGAATTAACCCTATAAAGCCTGACATATTATAAATGGACTTTATTGAACCTTTAGAAAAAAATCTTAGGCCTTAGAAACGTATCAAATATAATATGTATAATGTAGGCTTTATAATGTTAAATACTTTTACAGAGTACTTTCTGAAGTCTCTACTTGTAGTATGTCAGTTTTTGTGGTTCATTTCCTCACGACCTACTTGTTAGCGGGCGTATCTTCAATGCGGTGTCCAAGCTGACTCTCGTGGCTCTTGCTGCGGGTCAGCGTGATGTTTGGGAGGAGGTGCAGAACTTTGCGGGACGGTGGAGGAGGTGTGCAGGGAGGCTTGAGGCGGTGTCTCCTCCGGGAGGGCGGGGTTATGGGTGGAGTCGAGGTGTGTCCGTGGAG